TTCACCTCATGGATAACATCCGCATACCAAGCAGCCCAGGAAAAGCTAAACTCTGAGGATGGCGCACTTCGCCATTCGATCTTTGTACCACGGTGGGATACATTGAGATCTCCGCCTTCGTGCTTCGAGGGAAGGCATACTACTAATGTAGCAAACATGCCATCGGCCTTCTCAGAATCTTGGTGTGGGAGGAAGAATGCGCCTTCTTCGTAAACCAGTAGCTTGTATAACTCCGCCTTGACCTCCTCCGATTGAGCGGTCAGGCCCAGGCCGGTGACGGCGTCATTCACCAGAATATCCATTTGCTGTTGCCAGTGGGGATTTTGAAGGGAGAACTGGCCAGGGTCGAGCTGCCATGTTTTGCGGACGGATTCGTCGACCAGGGTTTCGGAACCTTTCCCGTAGGGACTGCGATCGCAGCACTGGATGATGGCTTCTGCATCATCGGCTGAGATGGGAAGTCGAATGTTGCCCACGCCTGGAATGTCCAGGCCAGGCAAGGCAAGGCCCAGCGAAGCTTCCCCGGCTAAGAAGGATCCGGAAGATTGGATGGTGTCCAAGGTGAACAAGAGTTCTTGCTTGACGTCAAGGTTGCCATCATCTTCGAGCAATTCATCCGAACATGAACTCATATTGCCACTGTTACTTGCATGAGCTGGGGTGGTGGGTGCCGAGATAGAGGATGTGGTGTCAAAGTTCAACTTCTTAGGGGAGAGGGTTATCCGGTCGCGACTCGCGTCGCGTTACATGCTGCCATTAGTGGCCATCGGGCAAAAACCAACCATCACATCAATCCCTGTCACCTTCACATTTTATCACAATTGTTTTTATGACTCGCCCAATAGTGTGGATGTCTGGATCAAACTTGACATTCTGTAGTATAACTACAGGCAGGCCGGACATTCTCCTACTGCGTAGATACTGCGAAGTGGAAACGTGACGACGGATTCCATCCACCGACAGCAAACCCAACACCACTCATCCAGGGATCGTCGAATGCGGTTCCGTGATACTTAATCCTCCTTTGACTCGGACAATACCGCCTTAACTTGTGTGGAGGCGACTCCGGGGAGAAGATTCCGATTGCTTAGTTACCCCTATTCCTCCTTCAGCCGTCAAGTTCTATATATAGCTTCAAGATCATCCACGCCAATCGACCCCGACTCGAGAGTGTGATGCCTGTCGATCAACGGATCAATAACCGCGGCCCGGGAAGATGTAGATGCTGAACTCCGTACAAATCGACTATTGAGGATCAGAGAAAGGGAAAATCCACGTCTGACCAGCTCACCGCAGACGCAGTCTTTTGGCTCGTGCCCTGCGCCGCCATGAAGCGTAAAGCTTGGTAGCAACATAGCAGCATGCAGCATATGGCATCCTGCCCATAGATGACCGACACGAGAAATAAAGCTCTTCACGCAATTTCCCTGGGACAGACGTTCCATGGATCGAATTCGGGTCGCGCGGTCTCCGGTTCCCCCGCCAGTTGTGACTCCTCCCGTCCCAAACACACACACACACACACACAGCAGCCCCTGAACGCCCTACTGATGGACTAGTAGGTGCCCCTGCAGGAAATTAGCCGCCACCCACTGGTTATCTATGATCCAAGGATAACTAGTAGTAGGTTAGTTTCTTCCATCGGGCAATTAGCCAAAGAGAGGATGTCAATTGTCAATCCCGCGCAGATGGGAGCCGACAGCTCGGGTTCCCCGACTCTTCTCTTGGGACGGATGGAGAGGTAAGAAGTCTATTTATTTGTTTGTGCGCGTAAGTCATCGACCCAGAATTCTATGCCTTGGCAGCTTTCCAGTCCACCTCCATACCAATCGGTAAGAATTCCTTGATTGGCGCTCGGTCGCAAGCAGTGGGGATGAGGGCAATCGGAATTCCCTGATGGCGTTTGGACGGGACAGGCGTTTCCTGTCTAACTGGATGTAGGGAATCAATTGCGAGTCTGTCCTACTGTGTTGCAAGCTAGCAGTTGCCCGACGAGTCATGCTTTCTCCCTGCAGCGCTCGTCGTTTCCTAATCAATTCCTTCCATCCGGTTGGGGGGACCCAGTTTTTGTTGCTTTAGTGCGTCAAACATGCAATTGCGGGGACTACCTTTAGGGTTCCCGGCGATTATCGGCAATTCCATCCCCCCTTCAATTTTCTCTTGCGAAGCACTTTCTTTATCCCAGGTTATGTTGCCAATTCAATAGTCAGAATAGCTGGACTCTTAGCCTCTGTGGCAAATACGACCTCCACGCAGTAATGCTCAAATGAACGTGGAGTGGACATCTCGCTTAGAAGCCGCCAAGACGCCGGAGACCACTCCAGGACAATCGCTATCAGTAATTTCCCCGTTCCTCTCCTGCGGCCAAATGAGGGTCGCAGAATGTTCGACCCTCTCCGTTTCCAGGAGTTCTAGATTGGCAGATCATGGCGACAGCGGTGTGTCATCCGAGGGTACGCATGCTGTTGGCAGTCCTGGTCCACTCTCCGGGAAAACCTTTGCCTCGCACCAGCGAGTTAGGGCATTGACTTTAGCCTGTCGGGCGTTAGCGCAACTGTGGGGACGCATGAATACAGTTAGATGGGCTCCGTTTGTCAAGCCAAACGGGCGATCACTTAAGGTTTAGCTAGCAAAGGGGGGCTCTCGTATTCCCGGCTACCGAAGTGGAAGAGATGGCGACTCCGTGCCACGAGCCATAGTTGTCTCGGCGTGCTCGACGATATCCCTAAAGAGTGTTAGACCAGGTACTAGCAGGAATTTCACCGCAGCTGCCATGATGGCGGCGACTTAACATAACCGTATTAACTCCCCACTCATGTCCACTCCCCCATGTTGCCTCAAATTTATGTCTGACACCCATGTCCTTGTCTGCACCACAAGGCTGATATTGACTCTGCTTTCGATCGTGACGCCATGGCCATCTACGGTGGTGCAGCGCCTTCACTGGCGGGCAGTGTCATTATGTTGACGACGCTGGCATTATTGACTTATGGCCTGCGGGTATACTGCCGAGTGACCAGGAAATCATGGAGTGTGGAGGATTGGATCATGACGGCTGCATTGGTGGGTTTAGAGCCTCGAAGGTCTTACTGGTGGCTAATTTTCCAAGGTTCCATTCGCCGTGCTGATAGCTGGATGTCTTGGTGGTGCTTTCAATGGCATTGGTATTCGTGATTCTGTATTGGCAGAGCCACAGAATGTCAAATACCAAGGAGAAGGACAGAAGGTAGGAAGTTTGCGAATAAGATCAGCTACATAGGACTGACTCTTCAGTTTTTCCTCATTTTCGAAGTCGGTTACTGTTCTGCCATTATTCCCATTAAGCTCAGTATCAGCTGGATGTTGATCCGAGTGGCCGAGGGTCGCAAAGCGTACCTCTACGTGCAATACGTGGTAATTGTTGTCTTTGTGCTGATGAATATCATCGCATTAATCTTTATTTTGATCAACTGCATCCCTGTTGAGTACGACACCCGACCTATCTGAGCGTAACAACCGATGTTGACTTTACAGGGCGGCCTGGGATACCTCACTACTCGCCAAGGGAGGACACTGCCAACCATCTTACGTGTTGGCCGATGTCTACTACGCCTGCACGGCTGTTAACATTCTCACTGACTGGGTGACGGCTTTCATGTACGACCACTTCCAGCTATTATCGAATACCACTAACTGAAGCAGGCCTGTACCTCTCCTATGGAATGTCCAACTGAACCGCAACACCAAGATCTCGATTGTCGGCCTAATGGGTCTGGGTATCTTGTAAGTACAATTTCTTATTCATTTACGCCCTGGTGAGCATAAACTAACTAATGGTCTCAACAGCGCCTCTATGTCCGCCTGCGTCCGTCTCAAATACACCGTCGCCCTCACCAGCCAATCCAACTACCTCTACAGCGTCACAAACGTGGTAATCTGGGGATTCGCCGAAAACGCCCTGGGAATGATCGTCGGCAACGTCGCGACACTGCGCCCACTGTTCCGCGTCCTCCGCGACCGCAAGACATCGTCGAACAACCGATACAACTCCCGGGGATACTACAGCTCTCAGCGCACGGGACCGGCAAACATGTATTCTCGCAATTACGAGCTGGCTGAGCAGGGAAAGCACACCAACAAGATCACCACTACCTCGATGCCCGACCATACGCGACGACCTAGTCAGATGAGCGATGGAGATAGTCAGAAGCAGATTCTTGCGGGCGGAACTCCTCCGGGCGACACGGATATTCTTGTTAGTCGGCAGGTTATTGTGGCGTATGATTAGCATTTGGAGGTTGGTTGGTTGGTTGGTTGGAGTTGGGGTATCTTATACTACATTCTTTGCATACATTTCCTTTATGTTAATAACTATAAATACTACAAAAAAGTCACATATAGAGATCCAATATTCTTACAAGCATGAGTGGGCTTATAGAAGCAGGGTAAGAATTTTAATTTATTGCTGGGCTAAGCAACGCCAAGCCTTAACGGCTGCAGTGGGGGACTCAATATATGCGCGAGTCAGACAATCATTTATTACCACGCTGGAATGTGATGGATCATACGATCAGGTTTGCACAACGTGGTCAGTTAGATCGTTCTTTGCTTGTTCTGTATTGTTCTTGTGCTTGTTCTAGAAGTTGATTAGCCTGTCTGGTACTAGTGATGGTTTGTGGGGTGGCACCACCGCGAACTGCTATATATTTGCTACTACTATTGTTACTATCTCCAATTCCGCAGTAACTTAACAAGTACACTCCATGAATTTGATTGACAACAAGAGATTGTTCTGCGAAGCTTGCTTTATTCATATTTTCTTTGATATCGTGCCGAATATATATATCATATATAATTGTGTCGATTGGCATCATACTATTCCTGTACCCCAAATACGACTTTGGGAATCCAGTTAGACACAGCGAGCAAGTAATCGCACCATATACACAGATAGTATAATCAGCCTCATTTAGACAATCAGCAGGCAGTAAACTGGCTTTATCATGATATCATCAGATTCTGCTAGTATCTTGAACTTCTTCTCACTTCTCCCACTAAATTTCTAATGCAACCGTGAAATCTATACCACCCCATAATATACAATAAAGTACAACTTAACATCTACCCACTTACAAACAACACCCTACTCTATTCCACCTCCAACTCCCTCACCACCCCACAACCCACATCATAAACCACCCCGTGAACCTGCACCTCCCCCCTCTCCACCGCCTCCCTCACAACCCCCATTCCCTTCAGCACTCTCACTCCCTCCAGCACATTCAACTCCACCAACCTAACCCCCCTCTCATACACCCCATGTATTCCCCCCAACTCACTCGCATGTCTATTCCTAACCCTCTTCACCGGCCTCAACCACGCATTCAACACACTCTTCTCCCCATCCCCATCCCCAGTCCCTTCTCCCTCGGGGGCAGCTAACACAGCCCCAACCCCCCCACAACACGTATGTCCACAAACAACTACATGCTTAACCCGTAAATGACACACCGCATACTCTACCACCGCAGCGCAATTCACATCCTGGCTATTCACCACATTGGCGATATTGCGATGCACGAAGACGTCGCCTGGATTTAGATCGAGGAGGGTTGTTTCCGGACACCGTGAATCGGAACATCCTATCCAGAGAATTTGAGGGTGTTGGGCGCGCGCGAGCGTAGGGAACAGGGAGGGGTTTTGGAGGGTGGTTTTTGCGGCCCAGAGGTGGTTGAGGGTTAGGGCTTTGGTGTATGTATCTTCTTTTTTGGGGGTTTGGGGTGTGAGGTCTGTGTGGTTGGTTGGTTGGTTGGTTAGTGAGAGGTGAGGGGTTGATGGAGGGAGGGAGGGAGGGAGGGAGGGAGGAGGATGTACCTGTGACCGCCATGGTTGCTAGTAGAATGTAGTAGTATGGAGGTTGAAGTTGGAAGTTGGTATAGGTGGATTGTAGTTGATGCCTTGGTAGTATGTAGCAAAAGACTGACGACGAGGAATGAACTAAATACTTATTGACTTCTCATACAGAGTGCTACATACCTTCCCTTCCCTTCCAACGAGGATACTACTACCAAGTAAGCATGCCGGATACCCGTCCCCTTTCCAATCATCATCTATGACCAGATGATCTAGATTGCATGATATGGATCGATCTATACACATGACACTGACCCTACAGCGCATAATCTCTGCGTCCGGCACACCCATTCGTCAACACTATCAGAGCACAGACTTGTTGCACGATCGGTGAGGCATATACACGTTCCGTCTGTATAGATACGATATGCGAAAAGGGATGAGGATGAGGGATTAATATACAGATATTCAAGGGATATACTTCCGAAGTAATCTGGATCAATCTATCGGCTACCGCGGAAATATAAATAGTAGTGGTGATGCTCTTATCAGGTTGATAAGGAGGTGAAACGCTAGTGTTCGGGTGTGTCGGCACTGTCGGGTTGTTTCGAGTGGTTGAGTAGCTCCGGACCTGTGGCATTTGGATTACTGGGATTCCACGTATGTGACGGTCATCTGGTCATTCTTGGAATGCTGGGGATAGCTAACCGTACACAATTGTGCCATCAGTTAAGGGAAGCTGAGCTGGTTGTTTGGAGCGACCCACTATAACGTGGCCACTAAAAAGGCAGGACATCAACATCTGCCCAATATTGTAAGACACGCCAATTACTAACGAACTCTCTTAGCTCCGAGATGTGGCGCTACTACGAGATGTCTATTCTCGCAGAAAGCCATGAGATAATTAGAAATGAACATGCAAGGTTTTGGTATTCTATGGCACTAGAAGATAGGCAGGCAGGTATATTGTCTGAACATGTAGAGAGAGTGTGGCACAAATGCAGTCTATGGAACTATGGAGATGGCTCGCTGGCACGTGTTCAGCTTCATATATCAAAAATACCAGTTGCATAAGGATCAGCAATACAAATTTCCACAAGTTGAGTCCGAGGATTGGACTCCAGTCACAAGCAATATGCGAATATCCAAAAATCCTGCACAAGAATATGACTAACAGACAAGAAAAACTGATAACGAGAAGTAACTATAACCGTCCATGATATCATACAACAGTGCTTCAAGGGTTTTACACCACAATCAACACTATCAGCATTGAATTCCAATATTCAACCAGTTGCAGGGTTAACGCCTGATGTCCCCCTTTTTAGTCGTGCCTGATCCATCTGCATAGATATGGAATGTTTTCTTGGCTCTTGTACCAACAATTTCCGCACTGATGACCCATTCTTTATCTGCAGGATTGAAGTGGGATTGATGAACAGGGTTGTCGCCGCGGGACCTGTCAGCTAGTTAGATGGGTACCATTGCAAGTCCGGCGAATACCTGCTTGATGTTGACGGAGTGTATCTTTCCGAGTCTCTGATATCCCTAATCAGTAGATAATTCTCTTAGACTAGCCAAAAGAGGAGTACTCACAGATTCAGCATCACCACCAGGCTGGGTAAACTTTTCCACAGCCGCCTTCCAGGTGTCGGATAGCCTGTGCCTATCAAATCCAGTCCACTCAAGGAGGGTCCGGACTGTTGTACTGAAAAGCCTAGACATGGTGACGGCCACAGTCGAACAAGAGCCTTGTCAATGAAGTGGGGGCTTGAATGAAGTATAATTGGAACTGATGTGTGAAGCTTGAAAACTGATTCCTGGGTTCTTATTTAGTGAGAATTATGGAGGGTGATGGTGCTCAATTTATGCTTTTCTTTCGCGCAGCGATCGGTTCAGCTTCTACTTCAAGATAATAGAGGAAGCCTTCCTTTCCTGTAGGCGCATCTTGCGATTCAAATCGTATACGTTTGTCTGCCTTGACCTAATCTTAGAAGTAATCGAAAGGCTGAATCTCATATTTCGAGTCCTAGATTACTCTGATCCAAGACATTAGACGATGGTCTCAATAATCTGGCTGTTGCATGCCACATTCATAGAATTGCCCGCTTTCAATTCTATCAGCCTCGGAATCAAAACATTCATGGGTAGCGATCCTCGCGCTTAGCTGATGGGATGGGCGCGCACGAGGGCCTATCGTGTGCAATTGGCGTGACTCATAAACTTTCCAGTCAGGTGCTGATGATAGGCCATGGCATCTCCTTTAATTGCGGCTTTCACAGCCTTGCACTCGGGCGATAACCTTAGGGCGCAGATAACCAGCCCCAGTTCTTCCATGCTCAGCGCCTCCCAAAACTGTAACACCGGCGCTAAGTAGACCGAATTATTTGTGTGCAATGTTAAGAGTGGTCGCTGAGATGGAGGCGAACATTATCACGACTGACGCATAGATGGGGCGGCGCGTCGCCTAGCCAATAGAGCCAGTTACAGGTATACGGTGTCCGCACCCAGCGACAGCACTTGCGAAATGAAATGAGATATAGCGGAAGCAGGTGAGCCAGCTAAGCGCCGAGGGCAGGCCCAGCCAGATGAACGCATGCTATATGCTAGGGATAGCGATATCCGACCAGACTACCTGAAACAGTTAGAAAGATATATGGGTGAGGTTGGTTAGTCATCACATGCCATAAATAGCATAACCCGCAACTACATGCATCCTCACATCCTCCTCGTCAATTCCATGGAGGTCTTGCACAGGCGTTATATCACTCTGTTTCTTGTTTCATTCCCAATGGCGTCGCTATTAAAATTGGTCAGAAACACTTTCCGGAGGGCTCCATCCCCTCCCATGTGTTTCCCGACCAGCGGATGGGAGACGATCCCTGCATCGGAACTACTTGACGAGGAGCGATTCGATGGATTCAAGAAGGGGCAATATTATCCAGTGAATATCGGGGAGGTTTTCGCCTCCAAGTACCAAGTGGTTGGCAAGCTGGGATTTGGCGTTACTTCAACTGTCTGGCTTGCACGTGATCTCGAGTAAGTCTGATCTACCGAGCAGTTCTCATGATTATAGCAAGTCATGATATGTTAATGCAGCCAGGGGCCATCGATATGTGACACTGAAAGTTTATATTCGGGATGAAGACAATGCAGAGGAATACCAAATCTATAATTACTTGAAGGAGCACAAGTCATCCCACCCTGGCTATGCGCACGTGAGAACAGCTCTGGATTTATTTACCATTCCTCGTAATGGAGGCGATCATCACTGTCTTGTCCAGCAGCCGATGTGGGAGAGCTTTCGCCATCTACTTTATCGAAATCCCACACATCGGTTTACCGAGGATTTGCTCAAAGCTGGTATCATGCAAATATTCCTTGCATTGGATTACCTGCACACTGAATGCAAGCTTGTTCATACAGGTACATAAGTCACCTTTAAATATGAATGATACAAATACTGACGACTTAAAAGATATCAAAAGCGATAACATTCTGCAAGAAATTGCGGACAGCTCAATACTTGAAGCTTTTACCAAAGCTGAAATGGACAGTCCCTCGCCCCGCAAATTTGTAAAAAGCGCACCGGTATATGCTTCGCGGCGATTCGAACTACCCAAAATATTCGGACGCGCAGTATTGAGTGACTTTGGATCTGCAGTTCGAGGCGATGAGAAGCAAGATCATGATGCCCAGCCCAATGTTTACAGGTCCCCAGAAGTGATGTTGATGACTGAGTGGAGCTATCCCATTGATATATGGAACGTGGGTGTTATGGTACGCATGTTCTTCTTGGCTATCGATAGCTTTCCTTGTCACTGTCGTCGTGCGGGTACTAACATGAAATCACTAGATATGGGATCTATTTGAGGGCAAGCATATGTTCTATGGAAATGACCCCGACGGGAAAGGGTATTCTACCCGTGCGCATCTGGCAGAGGTGATCGGTCTCATAGGACCTCCCCCGTTAGATATGATCATGCGTGGAAAACGAAGTCATGAACTCTTCAACGAAGACGGTATGTAATATTTGTTTACCTTGACTTGTCAAAGCATGGAAGACTTACACAAGGTCGAGCAGGGAAATGGAAACAAGATATAGCAATACCACAGACAGGGGGTCTAGAGCAATCAGAAGAGTTTCTCGAAGGCAGGAATAAGGAGGTGTTTTTAAATTTCATGAGGGGGATGCTCCAGTGGCGCCCAGAGGACAGAAAAACGGCAAAGGAGCTCCTCAAAGATCCCTGGCTAAATGAACAAATAGAGTAATGTTCAATTTGTGTCAGGCGGTAGGGGATAAATCGACGCTGTAATTCACCAGGGTCTGTACAGTTGGGAATTTTTAACGCTCTGGTTTTGGGGAGATAGTAACACTGTAGTTGTGGAAAGCATGCGGGCACTGCCGCCACGGTCTGGCTTATCATTACTATGCTCTATTCTATCATTTCTAAATAGCACATACGCAGATTAATCGATAGGCGCTTCAGTTCGGGCAAACCCCCAATATTTTCGTCCCTATGGATATACTAGTACCTTTTGAGCTCCACCTCGGACCCTCATCGGTTGGCTTGATCGCCTTGTCACAGGCCTCATAGCGCTATTCCACGGTAATAAGCATTCTGGTACAGGCTAGTAAGAACAGCGTTGCTGCCAACCTACCAGACACCAATGGCATAGATCTAGTCGGAAGCTCAACTAGAACTCATTTAATTCCCTTCCCCTGCTTGCTTCATGTCGCTGTGTCACTCACACGTTAGTTAGTCTAGACAGCGCATATGGCTTCGAGGTGAATGCACCACGTGAAAGCATTCCTTCCTCCGTTCCGCGTCTGCGAATCCGTCAGGCGGTCATCCAGGCTATTTACAGGTAGGTTATCTTTGTGGAAGTTTGGACCATTCACATATTTGTGCCAGTTATTGGAATATTTTGTCATGGGTATCAATACATAAAACACCTATCTATCCAGGAGTTCGCCACACATGCTCCGATTCTATCTTGAGGGATATTCCTACGTGCTCAGCATACGGGACGGCAGCTGCTTATGACTGCTCCCGTGACACCTCAGCCACAAACTCCATCAAGCCAGGATTAGAAGCTGTCTGGTCCGATGTCCATGTCTGGGAATGTAAACTCGGTGCCTTGGTGGCGCCGGATCGGCCAAACCCTTCAAGCCCTCGAAGCGGAAATGTTTCCACCTTCAATTCCTCCCGTGACAAGCTAATCTTCAGCTTCTTACTTTGGCCAGTATTCGACAATGCCAGCAGTTCACCGTGGTGTGGGTATGCCGCCTCCCAGGTCAATTGCTTATCTCCCTCGGCGCCCTCTTTCTTAGTGTTTTTAGCCGTCTTCGAGCCTTGAAGCGCGATGGCCGACACGATGTCCAGCTTCACGAAATGCATGAGAGCTGCAGCTGCTTCATTCTGCAACCCAATCCGACCGGGAGGCTGCACTTCGGGATGGTGAGGAAGGTCTATGGAAATGTCGTAGTGGGTGCCAAAAGGCGGTGATACCGGATTGGTACGGATTTTCACGCGGAAAGAGCTCTGAGGGGTGATCAAATGGCCGGAAAATGTGGATTCGAAGGGCATCAGGAACTGTTGCACCAGACTCTCTACCTTCGGGACAGCCTGCACCTTCGGGAGGCTGACAGACGCAAAAGGCAGGGCGTGGAAATCACGCGCGACTCCTGCCGCGCGGAGAACCCGGTAGATATCATTCATGAAGGACTCCAGCCATCTGACGTGCGAGCTGTGTTGGAGATACGCCATGACGGGGCGCAAGAGCTGATACTCGGGGGTATGTCGACGTTTCTGGGAGAGCGGAGGCGGTGGTTGGGTTCTGCGTCGCAGGTTCTGACGGTGTGCATACGCGAGCAGGATCCTAATAGAGTGTGAAAGCCCATTGGCAAGGACGTCGTGTTCTGTCGACTCGATCTTGTCTTCGTCGGGCGTTTCACGGTCGGCATCTACCAGATCCATCAAGATCTCTTGCTCTTCGGATATCGGTACACGGACCAGATTTTGCCGAGTCGTCACACCATGACTTCCCATAATACGTGCTTCGCGCATCAGTTCGTGGAATAGCTCCTCTTCATAGACTGTGTCGCGAGCCTGCAAGATCCTGCGCTCAACCGAAGCCGCATCGGGGATCGAATCTGGCATTCTAGAGCATCCCGTAATTTGGCCGCGGTGTTTCACACGCATCCGAACCGTCCTCGTCTTCTGCGGTGCCAACCCCTTATCCAGTATTAAGCTTCCATTATCAGCCCTCCGTAGAGCAGCAAGACCACGGTCGCGGAATATAGGCGTAGCTATACAATGCAGTTAGCAAGAATTCACCGTAAGCACGTAGCAATCCTACCTTCCAAAAACCCATATTGTACTCCCAGCGCAGTTCTCTCGCGAGGCAACCTGCAAATCTTCCATCCCTTCTCCTTAACCGCCAGCACCTCATCCCAGTACTTCGTCTCCGAAGCGACCTCTTCTTCCAGTCGTGTCGCCGAATTGAGCAATTTATTCGCGGCAGCATTGAAGTTCTGCGCCCTCCAGCCCCGCGACACAGTCTTAACATCCTGCACAGCGGCCTCCGACTTCGGCGGCGGCTCGACGATCTCCGCATTCAAGGACCCAAGCGGCGCAACCTGCTTCAAGAACGTCGACATAGAAGTCTCCGCCTGACGAGGGGTATGCTTAGAAAGCAAAAGCGAAACAAAATCTAAAGCGAACAGAGCTTCCATATGCGCCTGCCTTCACCCGCAGCAAACCATTAGCTCCGTTGCCCACTTATTGTCAACAGCAGACACCTACTTACATAGCGAACTGCAAGATCTCGGCCCGCCGCTTGTACAATGTTTCCAGACGCTCAGTCGAGTCCACATCCTCGGCGGGCTTATCGTCCTCGTCTTCCTCCTCCCATGGGTCCCGGTTCTTGTCCTCTTCGATCTTGGCAAGCAGTGTCTCTTCGTTCACGTCGCGGAAGGATCCCCATCGGGCGTTGATTTGAGCGATCTCGATTGGGAGGGTGTCGGGGCGATCGGGCTTCTCCGTGAGCGGGCGCAGAGGGAGGCTGAAGGAGTCGGCCATGGTTGTGGTCCGCTGCCGGAGGGCAGGTTGAGTTGAAGGTGTATTGTTGTTTGATAATGGAGTGATGGTGACGGATGATCGCATTGCTGATCGGAGGCACGTGACTGCTCTGTAGCTAGGGGCTAGTCCGGATATGGACTGATGTGGATGGTGGGTCTATGTTTATGCCTCAGGAAGAAACCCTTATGGGATATAGTGCCATTGGATATATTTCACTTTAGGGTCTCAATTGCTTCATGCACATCACCAGCTTTATTTGCATAGAACTTGCCGTAGTATGGGCAAGACTGATAGCTCTTATTGTCTAAACATTACTCAGGCCACTCTCCAATAAGGCATAACCGGTGACAGCGTCATCGGCGATAGCCAACTCGATAAGTATAATATCCTAAGATGCTTCAGTATACCTAATATGTGATTATGTGAACAGTAACGCCTTCCATATGTTATACATCACTGTTCTATACAGTTACATGGTATTATTCATCTAAATTGGACGAAAAAATACTATGATCAAGCCAATCATATGCGAAACCTAGCTACCCCGGTACTACAGCCGGAGAGAGATGCCTATAGGTGGAACACCCATGCGATTCAAGCACATCACATGCCTTCTCACAACTACCCAATTTACCCCGCTTCTGCCTGAGCCTGCCAATACATACAATCAACCTGAATATCCCCTTCAAGAATCCCGTCAGCAGCCATCACCTCCACACACTCACCAAAAGCTACACCTATCCAACATGCCCTCCCGAAAATCCAGATCCAACCCCAAATCCAACCTCCCTCGCAACCGCTGGTCCATGTACCCAGCCCTTCACAGCGACGTCCTCAACCACCTGAGCTCCTCCCTCCCAATTACCTCGCTAACCTTCCACCCCTTCGACGACGCCAGCAGCAGCAAAAAAGAATACGACACGAACATCATGGGCCGGTTCGTTTGCTCGAATGACTCGTGCACGTCAACCGGGTGGACGAGCAAGAAGATCGCCATCACGATCCGGCTGTACACAGACGACGAGTACAATGCACGGGTGTATCATCAGCGCTGTAAGAAGTGTAATTCGCTCAGTCGGCCGTTTTTGGATGAAGATAGCTATGCGGAGAGGATTGCGTATCGCATGAAGAAGTGGTATGGGGTTGATGTGGAGAGGCCTGTGTATGATGAGAGGAAGAGGACCAAGCCGCATAATAGGGAGTTGTGTGAGGGGTGTAAGGCTGGGAGGTGTTCATTTGCGGAGGAGGTGTGGGATGAAGATGATGATTGGTAGAAAGGGAGGGGTTTGATTGGTAATGGGATTGGTATTTGGTCAGTCTGGTGTTATGTCACATTAAGTAGGAGCATGGGATGTTGAGCGATATTTGCAATGACAATGACAGACATGATACAGTTTGCTTGGGTACAGAGTGCGCAGTAATTATGAAGCACTACAGCGATAGAGAAGTACTTCACTGATCCTAATTTTGATGGTAACGACTAAGCACCTCCGAGCAAATCAAAAACAGATAACAAAAGGTGCCTTTCAATCTTAGGAGGATGCTTGTTCAGCTTCATAGCTGAGAACACAGCCATCTGGGCTCCACGCACGCTATACTCCATGCTCAAAGTCGTATCATCCTGAATCTCAACATACTGTCCCACCAAGGCCAAGTTCTTGCTCTCGGAAGGCATGACTTCAGGGCGGAAGTCATGACGACGGGGCATCAGTGGTGCCGTGGCCATGGGCATCAGAACAGGCTTCGTGATCGAGTTCGGGAGTATGCCATCCACTGGCATTCCTAGCTGGGATAGCACCTCGGTTAGAATCTCCTTGCCGGAGCAATGACACATGGGCTTATGGACAAAGTTTCCAGTCTTCTCAGGGTGTAATCCATAGCCCCAGAATACATCGACGGAGGAGGGCTGGTCAGAGCACACGGGCTGACGTGGAACGCTGATACTCAGGCCCCAGTTGCTATCGGAGAAGGAAAGCAGAGCCCCCGTGCCGGGTTTGTTGTTGGTTAGTTTCTCGTAGCGTTCCATAAAGTCGCTGTTGCGGAGTGTGACTGTGAAAGACTCCAGAGTCGACTGGTCAACGTTGTTGTGGAAGTTGAACGGGTTTCCATAGTCCGTAGAGGCCTGCATCAGGTCGATCCACAGGGCCCAGTCATCATCCAGGAACTCTTTGCTATGCTGGGGTACAGGATTCGGGGCCTTGTCGTTTGATCCCCTCTCAGTTGCAGAAGTTGTTGATCCAAGGGTAACCATGACAAGATCCTCGGGCCCCACGTCGATGGTCTTCTGTTCGCCGTTGTCTTTGAGGATGATCCCGGAGACGGTAGTCTGTGCCTCTTTTGGGTTCATTTGCAGGCTCGTGACCTTTGCGTTGAAGTGGAAGTCGACTCCCTGAGATTTCAAATATGATTCGATTGGCATAACAACTGACTCGTAGATTGTATACTTAGTTCGATCCAGAGCCTTCACGTCATTCAGGCGTTCAATTTCGGCCAGATGTTTGCAAAGACATCTTCTGAACTCTGCCAGGCTGTGCCATGGCTGCATAGCGAAGCTGTATACTATCAGCTTTATAACAGTGGGAAATCACAGTATCAACCTACGTAGTAGACCATAGCGTCCAAAAGTTAGTCTTGAAAAATGCTTCATCGAAGACGTCCTGTATGGCTTTCTCTCCGAGCATACGCTCATTTTCAAGCATTAATTTGATCAGTTCCATTCGGTACTTCGGTCCAATCTGGAGATTTTTGGAGTGGAGGCATTCTGGGCCTTTATCTCCATGTTTTATGAGACGTGTTGGCGCTGCACGTTTGGGAGAGGTTGTCCGGTCCAACTCCTTGATGCTATCAAGGAGTGACTGCTTTGGATTATCGGTGCTGGGAACAAGGGAAAGAAGGTGCTCTACACATCGATCATGGAAGTAAGGCAGGCTTCCAGTGTACAGAACGTAACCGTTCTCTGCGTCGCCGCAACTTTTGATGCCGCCACCTGCGTGGGAGTGCACGTCAAGGATGTGGATATTCGCTGCAGGAACACCCGCATCGTGAATGAGGTGGACTGCACCGGCCAGTGATGATATTCCACTGCCTATGAGCCAGGCCTGCGTGGTTTTTGGGTCCCGCTTCAATCCGTTTCCGCGGTTCATCTTGAATATATTGATTACTTCTTATCCTCAGTCGTTGTTGTTCGATGATATAAAAAGATACAAGGGAACTAACTATCTGTGTGAGAATAACCTGTACAATCGTAGACTATGTACTCAGCAGATTTGGATATCAGTGGGAAGTGGTTGCAATACTTTGGAGTGCTCAGAAGCCACAGTGTCATGATATCATCACGATGAACCGACTGTCATGAGATAGGATGCAGTATCACGAGAAACCGGAGTACAAACAGCATAATCGGTGCACCCAAAGGATGGTATTTATGACTATTGGCCGGAAGGCATCTTCCATTTTCGTCAGCCCAGGAGAGCTATCTAGCAGATCCCTCCACGTGTGGGAAGGGCCCGTGGTTGGGGAAACTCTAAGTTGTGCAGTTCGTGATCTAGGCAGAGCCATCCATGGCGGAATCAGCCATGTCTAATGGAACGTCGGGGGTGCGGCATGAAAAAGCCGTCAAATCGTATGATTTGCGTCAAGCAGTTGATACGTTGCACGACCGTAGAAGATTTGAAAGTCCTAGTGGCCAGCTTGGAGACGTTTGCATGTCACCTATGTAGGTCTTCTCATCTACCAGCGAAACAGCGACCGCCTGCTGGCACTCGACAGAATTTGCAGATAAGTCGGTTCCCATCTCCTGCTGTATGGTCGGGGCTACAAATCTCTTGTCGATTTGATGATTTCCACGGTGAACCAACCGAGGTCGTGTAACCAATTTCTCAGCCATGCCTTTCCTGTCATATGCCCGTGCGCTAGAACTGAGGAGGCAATTGCAAGGAACCAGAGCTGAGGTTATCTGTATCGGGTGCGACGAGTATGCGACGAGCATTCGGCGATGGAGTGACACCTGCGAAAAAGAAGCTGTATGTGACTACTTTCTCTCTCCTCCGGATCGCTTGAATATTGTTCTGACCAAGCACAGGGTGCCGTTGTACGTGTAGCAAGCACAGCAGAGGTGGCCGAGGTGGTCCGCTTCTGCCGAAAGAATCACATCGACTTCGTGGTCGAGGCTGGTGGACACTCCACCACCGGGGCTTCTTCGTCGCATGGGGGTGTGGTAATCAGCTTGGCTAAGATGCGCAAGGTCTTGACAGACCCTGCCTCTGAGACGGTGTGTGTCCAGGGAGGTGCGACCTGGGATATGGTCAATCATTCAACTGCTCCTTACGGGCTAGCTGTGGTAGGCACCATCGCCAGTCACGCTGGGGTTGGCGGGTCAACATTAGGAGGTGGCTCCGGATGGCTAACAGGGCAGTACGGCCTGATTGCAGACCAGCTGATGGGTGTCAAGGTGGTCCTGGCCGACGGCACCATCGTTGAAGCATCAAATGAGGATAACCAGGACATATTCTGGGCGATGCGCGGAGCTGGACAAGCTTTTGGTATTGCTACTGAGTTTGTATTCCGTGCCCATAAAGTCCGAGACGAGTTTTTCGGAGGGGTGATAGAGTACGATGTGGATAGGCTACCAATGCTTGTCGATTTTGCGAACGAGTTCGATAGGCGTCAGGATCCATACAGTGGCTTCTACTTTGGATTCGCATATTCACGAGTCGAAAAGCAAATGGTATTGCGGGCTCTGGTTTTCTACGACGGGTCTGCGTATCAAGGCGGAATATTTTTTGCCCCCATCCTATATCAGAACCCTCTGATGAGCCCTCTGACCAACCATACTGGCATGAGAACGTATGTAGAGATGAATGCATTTGCTAATGTCGACCCAGTGCCAGAAGGCCGCAAAAGCATCAGTGGTGCAAACATCATGCGACCGCTCGAGACAAGCCTTTTGCAAGATCTTTACAGTCAGTTTGTTGAGGGTCTGAATGCGTACCCTCGTATGGAAGATAGCATGTTGATGTTTGATATTTTACCATATAAAAGGACTGTGGAGGTTCCTGTCGATGAAACCGCGTGTGCCAATCGAGGACCTTATTGCAGCGCCAGGCTCTTATTATGCTGGCATGACTCTGAGCTGGATGCGAAGATGCATGCTCTTCAACGGAGCATTATCTCCAAAATCTTGGAAGCGCAACGAGGCATTCCCGATGATCATGGTGTTGCCTGTCCCAATCTTGCCGGTAAGTAGCTATGATAAAGCTGTGCATAAAGAGCTCTCTTGCTAATGTCTGTAGGACATGACATTAGTGCCGAGAAACTGTTCGGTCCTAACTTGCCTCGATTACAAAAGCTGAAGAGGAAGTATGACCCACATAATGTATTCCGCAAGTGGCATGATTTAATTGCACCAGCAAAATCACATGTAGAGCACACGGACAAATCATAGGGTCTGACTGAACCCATTCATGTGAGGGTTGTGCTATTCTGGTGAGAAATTTGATAACAAAGTTGCTTCATTGTCACAAAGAACGACAAGGCCAGTCTTCAATCGCCCGATTGTGTGCTATGTCAGGCAACACAGGACGTAGAGGCTCGCCAGTGACTAAAAGAGCGGGCACACTGGCTAGTAATAAAGTTTGTATTCTGGAGATTTAGGCCATTCGTAGCTGCCCTGGGAAAGGCCTGCTCGTTTCTCCGCGGGCTTGTTGATTTCTGGGTATAGCTCATCTTAATGTCGAGAGAGGAATTATAACGGACTGCTACAACCATATTCACTCACTAGTGTGAAGGATGATTCTCTCGCTACATGAAAGTATAGATCTAAGTAGCATACTTCGTTCCATCATCAGCTTCTTGATAGTTGCAAGGAATGCATGAAGGTCCTACTCGGCCGAACCAACACTTACCTTCCGAGTTGATGCCGCCGTCGGCCGGATAATACGCGAGTGTTCCTTTCAAGCGAGAGGTCTGGCTACTGTATGGTTTATTCCTTGTCATACGATGGGCTCAATGCAGTTAGAAGAAATGCTGATAGATGTCATTTGTGCGTCAAGCGAGAGGGGGCGTCTTTGTTCCTCTGGGACGCCGAAAGTTTCCCCGCTCCAGGCCCGGCGTTCGGCAACAACAGCCCATGTAGGGTTGTACGGAAAGCAATCCGGAAGGCAAAAGCACGTATAGTAGAGGGTATAAGAGCGTTAAGATCTGTTGATTTTACATGGTGAGTATGATCGGTCATAATATTGATCAATATAAGGTTCTGATTATCATAAGAAATGAGTTCCATTAGCTCAGATTTCGACGCAGAGTCCTGGTCAGGAAGGCCACTAAATGTAGGATGAAACATTGCTTTCTAGACATGACATTGAGTTGCTGATAAAGGAAACTATTAGGTCATATACGCCGGAATTACAGAGCTCATCAGCGATAATTCCAGCGGAAGAGTTGCAATTGCTATCCGGAACCTGACCGATCTGGTCGACTTTCTCGTGTGTACTTGGCATGCTCCGCGTCCAAATGTTTCAGACTATGCAACCGACACCATCATCACGGAGCTGCAAAGGTACAGGGAAAAGCATGCCGAAAAGATAGTTAGCGCTGCTCTGCATCAGTCTCTTGTCTATAGATGTCCGTCACTATGCTCGCGACTATGGAGCGAACTCGACATTGTCCCGTTGGTTTTGGACCATAAGGACCGTGAAAGACAGCATAATGACCCGGGCGAGCTGACAACGTTTGCCGGGTGGCATAAGAAGGAGCTCGACGAGCGAGCCGATTCAATGGTGCGGAAGTGCATTCGGTTAGTATGCCTTGATGGTGAGGGCTAAATACTGACTCGTATAGTTCTTTTGGCATTGGCCATGTGCTACATAATCATATAAATTTTGACGGTTCAGTGGATGTTGACAGAGGCTACCATGTACATCTTGCTAGTGCGGAAGACTATGAGAAAACAGTCAATTCTGCCACATGGTCTTTGGCTCAATATTTTGCCCAGGATCTGAGGGAAAGGGAGGTGAAGGTCGCTTTCTTCAGTATGACCTGCCAAGGCAAGCCTGATGTTCCGACCAGACATGCCTTGTCAAGGTTTACCGAGAGCGTTGGGGTTCATGTTAAATGGTATGACTCTTATATCCTGGAGCCGGTTAATTGTGATTCTTACATCGTTCTTACAGGTTTGTGCCGAAGCCACGTCCAGGAATGATTCCCCTCATTCGAAAGATGCAGGACACCCTGGAAGGACTAGGTGATCCCCTGTCAGATATCACCATCAACGATGAGCTACTTATCCTCGACTTTGCATACTCCAACGCCAGGAGATACTGGCTGTGTGAGCATGGGCCCCTCAGGCCTCGTACGGAGGGAGGCGTCGACGTAGTGATTATTGACAGTGCACCGCTCTTGACATTGGCTCTCCTGTCCAAGCAACAAGATCCCGAGCGGCCAGTCATATTTGAGAGCAGTCTCCAGCCTCAGGGAGAGTCACTGAATGATCCCAATAGCCCGCAGTCCCGAGCGTGGGACTTCATCCGAACCCGGCTAACCCACGTGGACTTGGTGGTGTCGCTACTCCCTAAAGAGCTTGCGCCGCGTATAATGCCGGAGGAGAATGTTGGCTATATGTCATTCTCTGTTGACCAGTACTATCCCCACCCGTCTATGACTTGCACGCATGCTGATGCAGTATAGACTCGATGGTCAAAACAAGTCCCTAACTGACTGGGACATCGGCTTCTACGGTCGTGAGTTCAGCTCTCTATGCAGAACGCTCCAGATGACCATCATACGCTATCCAGAGGGTAAGATCCCTAAACCCAGTACTTTAGCCATACTAAACTCCCATGCGTTAGAGCAATACATTCTCCACCTATCCCAATTCCGACCCGGAGATGGAACACTCTGCCTTCTCCACGCATACCAAAAGTTCTGCGACATCTACACCAAAGAGCATCCAAGCCGCCAAGTCCCCAAGCTCCTAATCTGTCACCGCGGCCCATTCCGAACCCCAGAAAGTACCATTTTCTACGACGCAGCAATGTCCCAAATCGACAGCAGCGAGACTCTATCTGCATCCGTCTGCATTGTCCCCATCGGAGCCGTCGATCAAATGTGGAACGCCCTGCTCACGAACGCAAGAGCACTCGTTCAGCTATCCACTTTGCATGGGATCCCTGAGATGCTTCTCGCAGCTATTCAGAAGGGGACACCGGTGATTGCTCTTCGGGAAGCCGAGCTTTTTCCTTTTGTGCATGAATCGGAGAATGCTATCTTGGTTGACAAGGGGGATGAGGAGGGGATTGCTCAGTGTTTTTCGAGGATTTTTAGTGTTGATGAGGTGTCTCGGGATAAGGGAGGAGCAGGGTTTAGAAGACTGTCAGATGCGAATACTACGGTTGGGAATGCGGTTGGTTGGTTGTATTTGGCGTCGAAGCTGTCGAGGGGGGTGAAGTTTGCGCCGAGGGGGGGAGATATAAATAAGTTGGCGAGAGAGGAGACGGGGTGCGGTGAGTGTGATTGGCATGCATTTTAGCTGATTATGAAGAGGAACTAAGTAAGTGGGATTGAAATACTATGTGATGGCCGGTGAATGTACGAATATACCGGTGTTACATTTGATTATATATTTATCGTGTAGTAGTAGTTGGTTCATTGCCAGGACCATCATATCCTATGAAGTTCGGTCCCACCACGGCATTCAATAATTTACTTAACATAGTCTAATTATGCGCCGAGATCATCCACGATGACCACTATTATACACAGAAATAGATAGTCAAATCTTCACCTCATAAGTGTGAGAATATCGAAACAGTACGTAAATTGTACTTCCTATAGAGCACTTTTGGAGTAACTGCTAAGCGACCCAGATTATTGGCCAATTTGTCTGAGGTGGGTCCGATGGGCCCACCACAGCTTCGGATCCAGAAAAAAAAAATTGTATGCTTCCCCATCACGAACCACACCGTGAGAGGTAAAAAACCTTCAAAAGCAAAAAGTAAAGCCCAACGCGGGGCTCGAACCCGCAGCCTTGAGATTAAGAGTCTCACGCTCTACCGATTGAGCTAGCCGGGCAAAGGGAAAGAGGAAGTTGAACAGCCCAACGCGGGGCTCGAACCCGCAGCCTTGAGATTAAGAGTCTCACGCTCTACCGATTGAGCTAGCCGGGCTTGCTCGTTGGAAGATGCTGGGTGAAGAGGGTATAAGACGGGGATGGAAAGGTTGAGTGGTTCATGCGATGTCAGAGGAGATGTACACATGATAGTAACAGGGACATGGGGGTTCAGCAAGAAGTGGGAATATGGGCATCTGGTTGTTAGTGAAATTTTTAGTAGGCTGAATTGCGTGTCTTCGTCTCCGAGCATTGATGGCAGGTTAACGTGGACGGGTGTCAGCTAGCAGGGTGTTTGCCTAGTACTAGCGAAGGCTTCGTGTCTGGTGTACATGGTGGCGCCATGGATCTTGTGATAGTCCAGACTTTCATTGAACCTGGGAATTTCGTTGAAAGATGAAGTGGTTGTACTGGGATGCTGTTTGAACAGGGGTAGAGATAGACCGCGCCACTTGCTGTGTACGAATCGTGTCACCAGTGTTGCACCACGGTCTCGGCGGGATAGTGCCACTGTCGAGTGTGTAGCAGCATCCAGCCTATGAATCATCGTGCCCCGGGTTCGAAGGTACAGGCGATAGATGAGAAACAGTACACAGTATATGATTGCATTCAGTACTCTGTAGAGCGGTACTTTGTAGCTGGAGGTGACTATGTTGTCATATCTCCACCGCCAAACCGGGCATTGGGGGTGGACCACAGGGGTCCGGCAGTGGAAGTACTTCAGCGTAACATCATGCTTGAGTAAATGTCCAGATAGCATGCACCCAGCTCTTTGCAGGGGTAGTGAGGTGAGATGAAAGAAGCAAAAGGAGTCTTTATCATGCCACCTGTCTCCTTAACAACTCCAGGTAAGTACTGTATAGCTGGTAGCATCGTTCAATCAGCGACCAGGGATTAGGGGCGTGTCTGCCTGAATGGGACTAGCGTGTATAGCTATCACGTGCAACACGGGCCCTAACCCATTTATCACGTGAATTGTCCCGCACTAGTCCCGATCCAGCAGAGGCGGTGACATCAGGTGTGCTTTTGCAGACTGAAAGAGGAAATGGCCGGAGGAAGAACATTCCTTGCTATTAGTTAATATTATTACTGAAGTAGCATCTGCCCATTGCAGCGTGCAGCAAGGTCACCCGGCCGATCGGCATTAGACGAGCATCTAGCCCATTCACCTGCAGACCAGGGAATTTCCTCCCCCGGTGGTGGGCAGTTAGTTTACCTTTCTTACAAAAGGAACAAATAATAAAGGTATTTGTATAGCGGGGCAGTGACGGCCGGAGTCAGTGACGTACTGGTTGCCCACACCCGCTTTTTCTCACCGGCACCTGCGCTGCTCTTCTCCCCCACCCTTTCAAACACAAGTTAGTTATCTCTTTGCCTCTCCTCTTCTCTCCATTACTCCATTCTTTCTTCTCCAGCTTTTGTTCTCTAAAAAACCTTCTTGTTCAGCTGTTGCTCTTCCCGAACAATTGCTGAACACCCTCCCCCACATAATCCCATCGCACGATGGCTCCCACCCAAGCTCCCGTGCAACCGCCCAAGAGACGCCGTATCGGTGTCTTGACCTCTGGTGGCGATGCTCCCGGTATGAACGGTGTCGTCCGGGCTGTCGTCCGGATGGCCATCCACTCCGATTGTGAGGCCTTCGCCGTCTACGAAGGTTACGAGGGTCTCGTCAATGGCGGCGACATGATCCGTCAGCTTCACTGGGAGGATGTCCGCGGCTGGTTGTCCCGCGGTGGTACCTTGATCGGTTCCGCCCGCTGCATGACCTTCCGTGAGCGCCCCGGTCGTCTGCGCGCTGCCAAGAACATGGTCCTGCGTGGCATTGACGCCCTCGTCGTCTGTGGTGGTGATGGCAGTTTGACTGGTGCCGACCTATTCCGTTCCGAGTGGCCCGGTCTGTTGAAGGAATTGGTCGAGACGGGTGAATTGACCGAAGAGCAGGTCAAGCCATACCAGATTCTGAACATCGTCGGGTTGGTGGGTTCGATCGATAACGACATGTCCGGCACCGACGCTACCATTGGTTGCTACTCCTCCCTCACTCGCATTTGTGACGCCGTCGACGATGTCTTCGATACTGCCTTTTCCCACCAGCGTGGATTCGTCATTGAGGTCATGGGTCGTCACTGCGGTTGGCTGGCCTTGATGTCCGCTATCAGTACCGGTGCCGACTGGCTGTTCGTGCCCGAAATGCCGCCCAAGGACGGATGGGAGGATGACATGTGTGCTATCATCACCAAGGTGGGTTGATCGGAGACTCGTGAAGAGCTCTCAGAGACATCGCTAACTCCCTGCAGAACAGAAAGGAGCGTGGAAAGCGCAGGACGATCGTTATCGTCGCCGAAGGTGCCCAGGATCGCCATCTCAACAAGATTTCGAGCTCGAAGATTAAGGATATTCTGACGGAGCGGTTGAACCTGGATACCCGTGTGACTGTGTTGGGTCACACTCAGAGAGGTGGTGCTGCCTGTGCCTACGACCGCTGGCTGTCCACGTTGCAGGGTGTTGAGGCTGTCCGCGCGGTGCTGGACATGCAGCCCGGGGCCCCGTCCCCGGTCATCACCATCCGCGAGAACAAGATCCTGCGCATGCCGTTGATGGACGCCGTGCAGCACACCAAGACGGTCACCAAGCACATCCAGAACAAGGAGTTCGCCGAAGCTATGGCCCTCCGCGATTCGGAATTCAAGGAGTACCACTATTCATACATTAACACCTCCACGCCCGACCACCCGAAGCTGCTCCTCCCAGAGAACAAGGTATGTCACATTGGAAATCGTTGGGTACTGAGCTAACAGCTCGCAGAGAATGCGCATCGGTATTATCCACGTTGGCGCCCCCGCCGGTGGTATGAACCAGGCTACTCGTGCGGCCGTTGCCTACTGCCTGACTCGCGGCCACACCCCCCTGGCTATTCACAACGGTTTCCCTGGTCTCTGCCGGCACTATGACGACACTCCGATATGCTCCGTGCGCGAGGTGGCGTGGCAGGAATCGGACAGCTGGGTCAACGAGGGTGGTTCGGATATCGGTACCAACCGTGGTCTGCCCGGCGATGACCTCGCGACGACAGCCAAGAGCTTCAAGAAGTTTGGCTTTGACGCGCTGTTCGTCGTGGGTGGATTTGAGGCATTCACCGCCGTCAGCCAGCTTCGCCAGGCGCGCGAGAAGTACCCCGAGTTCAAGATCCCCATGACCGTGCTGCCGGCAACTATTTCCAACAACGTGCCGGGCACAGAATACTCGCTGGGTAGCGACACCTGCCTTAACACACTCATCGACTTCTGCGACGCCATCCGCCAGTCGGCCTCGTCTTCTCGTCGCCGTGTGTTCGTCATCGAGACGCAGGGTGGCAAGTCGGGTTACATCGCCACGACGGCTGGTCTGTCCGTGGGCGCGGTGGCCGTGTACATTCCCGAGGAGGGCATCGACATTAAGATGCTGGCCCGCGACATTGACTTCCTGCGTGACAACTTTGCGCGCGACAAGGGAGCGAACCGCGCGGGTAAGATCATCCTGCGTAACGAGTGCGCGTCCAGCACGTACACGACGCAAGTGGTCGCCGACATGATCAAGGAGGAGGCCAAGGGACGCTTTGAGAGCCGTGCGGCGGTGCCGGGACACTTCCAGCAGGGTGGCAAGCCGTCGCCTATGGACCGTATCCGGGCGCTGCGGATGGCCACCAAGTGTATGCTGCACCTGGAGAGCTATGCGGGCAAGTCTGCGGATGAGATTGCGGCCGATGAGCTGTCTGCATCGGTCATTGGCATCAAGGGCTCGCAGGTGTTGTTCTCGCCGATGGGCGGAGCGAACGGACTGGAAGCGACCGAGACGGATTGGGCTCGCCGCCGGCCCAAGACGGAGTTCTGGCTGGAGCTGCAGGACACGGTGAACATTCTGTCTGGCCGGGCGAGTGTGAACAATGCGACGTGGAGTTGCTACGAGAATGTTTAGCGCAGAAAGCAGCGATAAACGCCTAGACATAGAGTCAGGCTATGATGATGAAAGGTTATGAGCATACCGAATTAAGTACAGTACAATAACATGATGGCAGTACACAGTAAAGGTAGTCTATTTAAACACATACCCCTTAGCCTTCCAAATAAAATAATCCCTCCCCTTAGCCAACCACACCATAAAACTGACCAACACCCACCCAAACGCCTGCCCCGTACCGCCAGAAGTTCCCACAGGAACCACCATCATCACATCATTACCTTCATCATACGTCTTCCTCCCACCACCACATCTCCACCATCCCCTCCCCTTACCCCCCTTCCCAACACCATTAATATTACCAATATCATCCACCATATTCCCCACCACCACCCCAGCCATCTCATCCGCCTTAAACGACAACTTCTGCGTATGAGTGGTAATATCCCCCGCCGCATACACCCCCTCCACGCCGGCCACTTTCAACTCCGAATCAACCCTCACCCAACCCCGTTCATCAAGTACTTCCGGGGGTATATAAGAACTATTAGGCAGGACTCCGATAGTCGGGATGTAGATATCTGTCTCGAGCGTCTCCCCGTTATTAAGCTTGAGTTCATAACCCCCCTCTTCCTTAGAAGAAACAGAAATGACTTTCCGATCTGTAAGAACGCGCACGCCTTTATTAGTGAGGAGGGATGTGGCTGTTTCGCTGGCGGAGGGTTTTAGGGTCGGGAGAATGCGTGGGGTGGATGAGATGAGGGTTACTACTTTCCTCGATTCTCCTTCGGAGGGAGAAGAGGAAGAGGGGGTGATGAGATCACCCAGTTCACCCGCGATTTCTACCCCAATAGGGCCAGCACCAATGACTGTGATTCTTTTTGCGGTTGAGATGGTGGTTTGGGCAGATTTAATCGCCTCCGTGATGGTGGTGGTTGAAGTGGGGGATAGTTTGAAGGGGTATATTTCCTTCTCCCCATCCTCACCAGGAAATAATGTTTCCGTCGAAGAAGCAGAGGGCGTACTCCCCGACGCGATAACCAAGTAATCATATTGGATTTCTCTCAGTGACTTATTACTCTCAGTGTCGGCGACTTCCTCAACATTTAGAACTTTATTCTCGAAATCGAGCGATGTCGCCCGTCCTAAGATGAATTCGAAGACATCCGGAGAGTATTTTGTAAACCCATCCGCGATCGGGATGAGGTATTGTGACTCTGTGAAAGCACTTGGTTTGGTGAGGATGCGCGGGGCCGCGATGGCCCAGTAGAAGCTTGGGGTGGGGTTGATGAGGAGGATTTTTATTTTTGTGCCCTTGTTGGTAGTTTTGTTGGGTGTGGTGAAGTGCGAGAGGAGGGAGTGGGCGGTGGTGAGGCCGGCGATGGAGGCGCCGATGATGGGGATTGTTATTGTGTCTGGTTGGGAGGTCATTGTGGTGGTATACCGATTCTTAGGTAGTTGGTGTGGTGGTATGTGATGAAAGGGAAGGATGTAAATAAATAAATAGGATTAAAGTAGATTAAAGTAGTAGTGGCTACTGCTAGTGGATTCTTATACTGTCAGACATTCCCGCTGCTTGAATAAGCGCCCGGGCGATCTGCACAGCTCAACTAACTATTGGTATGGTGGCGCTGGAGTAGTAAGATTAACTACTATTTTCTTACTCTCACATCATCTTAAGTGACTAATTCATATTCAAATACCCTGGTTATATCCCTTGCAACTCGTCCAGGAGCTGCACTGTCTCGGCGGGACTTGCGATCCACGCTGTCGTCGATGCCAGCCGGGCCTGTCATTATTAGCATCCAGCATAGTATTCAAATTATAAGGAATAGGGGTACCTTGAAATCATTCGCTCCCGCCGACAAGAACTGATCGCCAACATGCAGTGTCCGCGCCGG